TGGGAGGTTTCAATATTCTTTTCTCAATAATTGATAGAATGAATAGACAGAGAGTCATTAAGGATACAGAAGGCTTGAACATCATCAACCAATTTGAATATTCACATTGACAGAGCACTCTTCCCAACACCTCATAATACACATTATTTTCAAATATACATAGAACATTTACCAAGATGGACCACATTCTGGGCCAAAAAACCAGACTCAATAAATTATTAAAAGGGTTTACATCATACATAATATAGTATATTCTCTGAACACAACACAAATAAATTAAAGGCATTGAGATGCTGCAGAAAGACACGTTCCAATTGCACCTCTTCCAGCCACCGACGGGGTTCTAGTTTGTGATCCAAGGTGAGCTGGAATAGATTTTCTTCTCCGAAAGATTTATGAATTCACTAAGATTTTGCCCTCAAGGATCCATTCCACTCCCTGAAATGCCCATCAAGTGTGGACTCTTTGACCAGAACCTGGAGTTAGCCCTGGAGATAGCAAAAAGGCTGGAACGTTTGGATCTGGGTCATAGGCTGAACCTACAATGGAATCCCCAAATTCTGAGAGATCCTGAAGCTGGAATCCTGCTGTTTCCACTTTGGTGGCAATCCCCTTGACATTGTTAGTGTACTTGAGAACAGGGCAGTTCTGAGCCTAAGGACGTGGACTGATCCCTGAGTCTTAACATAATGCTCTCCTTCCTTCAGTATCTACCATGGTCTTACTTCCCAACTCAATTCAGATTTGTTTACAGAGGATGTAGGTCCATAAATCCTATAATAAACATTCCTTTGATTTGCTGTCTGTCAATAGCAGACAGATATCTGAAAAAAGAACCCAAATATATGGAAACTAAGTAACACACTTTTATATAACCCATGGTCACCAAATAAATCAAACAGAAACTAGAAAAGACTTTTATCTTAATTAAAATGAAAGCACAACACATCAAAATTTATGGGATGTTGCTAAAGCAGTACTCACAGGGATTACTGTTTTAAGAAAGAAAAAATATCTCAAATCAACAAAAAAATTAAGGCCCACTTTTACTTTTAAAAATTAAGGCCCAAAGTAAGTAGAGAAAGAACATAAGAAAGATTAAAGCAGAAATCAATGAAATAGAAAACAGAAAAACAAAAGATCAATTAAAGCAAAGCTGATTCTTTAAGAAACATAATCAAATTTATAAACCTCTTGCCAGACTGATTAGGAAGAAAACATCAGAAGACACAATTTCTAATAGCAGGAATGAGAGAGATGACATCAATATAGATTTTATAGATAAAGAAGGATAATCAGAAATTATGGAATTATGAAAATAAATTCAACAACTTAGATCATAGAGACAAATTCTTTGTAAAACAAACCATCAAAGTTTACTCCAGAAGAAATAGATAACCTAAATACCTCTGTATAGCTATTAAAATAATTGAATTTGTAATTTAAAATCCTAGTACAAAGAAAACTCCAGTCTCAAATAGCTTCACTCGTAAATTCTACCAAACATCTAAGGATAATTCAGTACTAATTCTACACATCTTCCAGAAAAAGGAAAGGAGAAATATTTCCTAAAACTCATTCTATGAGACCTTCATTACCCTGATTTTAAAGCCAGACAAAAACAGTGTAAGATAGAAAACAACAGACCAAGATTCTTCATGAATATATATACAAAAACTCACAACAAAATTTTAGCAAATAAAAGACAATACTGTATAAAATGAATAATACATTATGACTAAGTGGGGTTTATCCCAGCAATGCAAGATTGGTTTAACACTCAAAAATCAATGTAACTCACCATATCAACAATCTAAAACAAAAGCTAAATGATTATCTCTAAAGATGCTAAAAAAGAATTTGACCAAATCCAAAATTCATTCCTGATTAAAAACTCTGAGCCATCTAGGAATAAAGGGGAACATCCCACTGACAAAGGGTATTCATCTACAGCTGATGTCAAATGTAACAGCAGAAGACAAAATGCTTTGTTCCTAAATTAGGAATAAGGCAAGGATGTCTGCTCTCAACACTTCTTTCTCTTCAACATTACGCTGGGTGTTTTATAAGTGCGACAAGGCAAGAAAAAAATGCATCAGGAATGGAAAAAATGAAGACATTGACAAACAACAACATAATCATCTAGGTAGAAAATTCAATGGAATCCACAAAAAAACTACTAGAACTAATAAGTGAGTTTATCAAAGGTGCAGACTACAAGATCAATATATAAAATAATTATATTTCTACAAAGGAACAAGTGGAATCAAGAAATGTAAATATCACAATAGCATAAAAATATGAAATATTTAGGGATAAACAACAAAGGATGTGAAAGAAGTACTTTGTACTTTGAAAGCTAAAAAATAATGGTGAAAGAAATGAAGGACATAATGAACTATAGCTATGGATCAGAAGACTCAATATTGAGTTTTCCTTCGAAGTAGAAATTGGGAAGCTGATTCTAAAATTCACATGAAAATGCAAAGGGCTTGGAACTACCGAAACAACTTTGAAAAAGGAAGACAAATTTGTAGGGCTAACATAATCTACTTGCAAGATTTATCATATGGCTATAGTTATCAAGGATCTAGAGACAAGTAAATCAATGCAACAGAATAGAAAGTCCAGAAATAGAACCACACATCTATGCACAAATGAATTTTGATAAACTGCAAAGGCAATTTAGTAGAGAAAGTCTTCAACAAATGGTGTTGGAACAATTGCCTATACAGATAAAAAAAATTATCCATACTAACACCATATACAAAAATTAATTTCAAATGGATTACAGAACTAAATGTGAAACCTACAACTAAACACATCCTTGCAAAAAACACAAGAGAAAACCTTTGTGAAATTAGATTAGGTAAAGAGTTCTTAGATATAAAAACAAAGGCAAAATCCATAAAGGAAAAAACTGATAAATTAGACTTGATCAAGATTAAAAACATATACTTTCTAAAACCGTTAAGAGAATGAAAAGATACAGATTAGGAGAAAATATTTGCAAACCATATCTCATAAAGGACTCATACCTATAAAATATAAAAAATCTTCAACTCAACAAAATGAACAACCCAATGTGAAAAATGGGGAAAAGATTAGAACAGACATTCCACTAAGTAAGATATATGAATGGCAAATAAATGAAAGAAAAAATACTTAATAATATCGCTATTTACCAAAGAGATGTTAATTAAAACCGCAAAGAGATACTACTACATACCTATTAGAATGGCTACCATTCAAGAGACAGAGTATATGAGGTGTAGGCAAGGATGTGAAGGAACTGATCTCTCATATACTGCTGGCAAGAATGTAAAAATAGTACAAACATTTTGGAAAACAGTTTGGCAGTTTCTTAAATAGTTAAACATGCATCTACCATCTGATGGAGCCATTCCACTTCTAGGTATTTAGCCAAGAAAAATGAAAGCATATGTCCAAACAAAGCCCTGTATAAAAATGTTCATAGCAGCTTTATTTTTAACAGCCCGAACTGGAAACAACCCAAATGTCCATCAACACATGAATGGATAAACAGTCTGTGGTAGATGCAGACAATGGAACGCAACTCAGCACTGAAACCGACTGTATGGATACATGCTACGACATGGATGAATCTCAAAATAATTATGCTAAGTGAAAGAAGCCAGATAAAAAAGGGGTATGCACTTTATGATTTCATTTATTATATAAAATTGTAGAAAATTCAAATGAACCTAACGAGGCAGAAAGCACATCAGTGGTTGCCTGGGGGTAGGGTTAGGGATACGGTTGCGATAAGAAAACGGAGGGGTTAAAAAGGGCTATGAGAAAGCTTTTGGGAATGTTGGATATATATATTTATCATACTGATGGCTTCATATATATATTCATTTATTAACATGACCATATTGATAAATATTAATGTAGCAATAAATATATATATCAGTAAATAATAAATAAGCATAATAGAATGAAACCACATGGATGAATATTAATAGAAATACAAGTTAATAACTAATAAATATATTGACAACATGTGATGTATTAATAAATATTACATTTATAGATATGTTAAACATGTTCTTTAAATATATTCAATTATCATGTGTTAATTATACACCAATAATGTTGTTTTAAAAGGACACAAAAACTGCAAGGTAAATAAAGTGGGGACAGTTCTTACAAAATAGTTGCCAGTTACCCTTAATATCGGGGAGGTGAACACATACATATACATACACCCACCCATACACTTGAAGGACATAAACAGGAAATTTAAAAATGAAATAGCAGTGGGCATTAATGATGTAAAACATATATAATTTCACTAGTAATTAAAGAAGTAAAAACTAGAATAATAAAGCATCTCATTTCGCCCACCAAATTGGCACAGTAATAGAGAAAAGATGCATTTTTTTTTTTTTTTTTTTTTGGTGAGGGCATAAGGATACATAACTGGAAGAATAGACTGGGTGCAATCTTTGACCCAGTGATATCCTAATAGGAATTTTATACGAGGCCATTTTTTTATTGCTTGTTTTGTTTTCTCATAGTGAAAGGCAGGTGTAAGTAGGCAGAGTATAGGAAAGGTGTGACCCTGAAAGTGGTCAATGTGGCTTCTTTCACCTGCAAATTTAGATTTCTTTGTAGGCTTGTGTTTTATCTGAAATAAGTGTTGGGATTTCAGGTAATTTTTTTTAATTTTCTTCTTTTTGCTAATGTGTATTACTACAACAAAAAATAACTTGATGACAGAAAACAACTTTAGCTCATTTCTTTTAACTCAGTAATTCTCTATATTGTAAGCTGTAACTGAGAGTAATAAAAATCTATAAAGGAATAACTTGAACCTAAAAAGTTTTATGAAATAATATTTTATCCCAATTTTATTAACGTTTTTCTTTCCCTTTAATGTATTTCTCTTACAAATATAAAAATTAATTATAGAAAACCAAACTGTACAATTGGTCCCCATTTTATATGAGAAAGCTTGGATCTATGGACAATACCTTTTTGTGTATGGCACAAAATATACTGTATTGCTCAAATTCATTTTAGCAGCAACCTTTGCTCCTCTTTTGTAATTTTGGTCTTCTGTATTTATGGTGCACCTATGGGAAGAGAAGAATAAAATACGTTGAGTACAGGGGCAAAATTAAAGAAGCAACAGTTGATAACAAGGCAGCTTTACGTATTTATTTACAAATAATATTACAAAGTTAGAATTTTATCTTCATCTGTTTGTGGGTGACAAACGTAAAAGCTGAAGTTTTCCCAACAGAGACACAGGCTACTCCTTCACCGGCAATGCCAGGAAACAAACGTGTCATTAGATTTTGGAATCTGTGTTGAGGCTTCCGCTGGTTTGCTCGAGTCCAGGGAAACTCAATAGCGGCTACCAGCAAACAGGACTAATCTGACAGCACACATTGATGCTACTGATTGTCTGTCAGGAAGGCTTACATTCTGCATTGCTTTTCCGATAGGCATGACGCTTTACACTGACTCATCCATCTTCCTTTTCTGAGGCTCTCCTGTAACCAATCCCCCACACTTTGGGAGTAATGATTATTCTTTATTATCCACTAAAGAAGTACATGCCCAATGTAGAAAATCTGGGAAATATATAGTACTATATGAAAAAAAAAATCCATAATCTTACCCAGGAAAAACTCCATTACCAAGTTGGCATACGTTTCTCTAAGCACATATTTATTTATTTCTTCATGCCCATATTTATCTTATTAAACAGCTGAGATTGCATTTACACATATAATGTCATAGACCACCTCTTTTGTCTAACTATATTATAAGCATTTTGCCATGTCATCAAACACTATTCACGAAGATCATTTAATGACTACTCAATGTATATCTTATGGAAGAGCCATATTTCATTTGTAACTGTTTCTCCACAATTTGAAAACAAGGCTATAGCCAACCCTTTGTTGAACTATTAAAATTTATTATGTTTTGAAGATCTTTGTGCATATTATCTATCTATGTCTTAAGGCTTTCTTTGGAATGGATTTCTAGAAAGGTATTTGTTGGATCAAAGAATGTAACAATTTAAAACTTATGCTATTGAAATAATTTTTAGACACTTGACTAGCTTTGGAGATGAAGGCCTCTGTGGTAGGGGGTGTGGTGGGGTGGGGACTAGAAAAAAGATACCAGCCTCCATTTTCACATTTTTCCTGCTGAGGATGTCCCAATCTCCACTCACGTCTGTACTTATAAACTAATCTTCTTCATTATTTTTGTTACTCCCTGATTGTGTGGCTATGAGATGCCTTAGATTAACTGGTACCTAAAACTTGCTGGAATTCAGCATCGCATTTTACTGAATCACCAACTAATCAGTCATTGTTATGTCTGCATTTCTACCCTGCTAATCTAGTCTGACTATAGCCTCAACAAATGAAAACATTCCTTTTGCTATTACATTAATACGAGTTGCAAAATTTCTAAGACAATAGATTTAAAGAAGGCATTTACTGACATCCTCATGTCCTGGCTAATTTCAAATGTGGGAGATGTTCACTTTCAGAAACTATTCTCATGCTATAAACATCCATGCTTAGTATTTTTCTTCTCTCTAAATACTCATTTTTACACTATTTTCTTAAAATAAGTAGTCTCCCCATCTTCAGGTGCATGCCTCTATCAATGTTCTAAAACTGTCTAAGGCTTCTAAGAATGACAGTTTCTGAGTTTTACCATTTTTTCCTCCTGCTAGAACACTGCACATGTTATTGAGCCTGAAAACTAGACTCGGAGGTTTATCCACCACATCTAAAGGGTGTTCTCAGTTTCCTTCCCTTTCACCACCTCTCTTCTTTCTCTAGAAATGTCTCTTTGGATTCCATGAAACTGTCTTTTCTTGTTTTTCCAGATTATTCCTTCTTTAGTTTATCTTCTCTATGATCTCTAAGTAAAATGTGGTCCTTGAAGTATTTGCCTGCAGCTCTCTGTGTGAGTGCAAGCCGCTCTCCTAATTTTTGCCCATGGAATGGTTTCATGTAACACAGCGTCACTCGTCGGTGCTAAACTCCGTTCTAAGGTCCAGTCCCATGTTTTCAAGCATCTATTTGGCTTCTCCCCTAAATGGTTCACACGCACCTCCCATTAACTTGACTCTTCCCTTCCCTTTGCCCCAATTAATTCACAATTCTGCTTCACACATTTCTTTTTTGTGCTCTTCACTTTCCATTTCTGTTAGTCCTCATTATCCCTTCCCTCTGCTTCTGCTTTCAGCCACTTATCTTTTCTGGAGTTCGTCTTAAAAACACTGTTACCATAATCATCTTCCTGAAGCACAGCTCAGATAACATCATATCTTTGCTCAGAAACCCTTCAATCTCTCCCTGTGGCCTACTTTAGCGAGCTGACATTCAAAGCTGGCCCCAAAGCATTACTCTAACCTAAATTCTAAACTCGATAATCAGGACAAAATGAATTATTGTACAGTTACATTTTCATAACTTTGTCTTTGCTTATGTTGTTGCCTCTGCCTAGAACATCCGAGTCCCAGCCACCCTCCCAGTCCAGCTAAGTGTCACCTCTTCTGTAACACCTACTGTTTTCTCTCTTGGCTTCAGTTTTAAATGCACACATATTAGGGCTCCTGCTGGGTGACAAGTGCTTCTTCAGGGCAGGATACATGTCTAAATGTATGTTTTAATTAAACATTGTATCCTCATGCAATAGTTTTTAAAAACCAGTTTTTATTGAGATGTAATTCACATCCTATACAACTGACCCTGTGAAAGTATACAACTCAATGCATGGTGTTTAGCATATTCACAAATATGTGCGGCCATCCTAGTCAATTTCAGAACATTTTCATCACCACAAAAAGAAGTCCCATACCTTGTAGCCATCACCCCCTTGTTCCATCCCTCCGTTCCTAAGCAACCACTAATCTACTTCCCGTTTCTTTGATGTCCCTGTTCTGAACGTGCTATATGAAAGGGCTTCTATAATAATACTATTACAATCATTTGTGTACAAGTTTTTGTGTGAACATACGTTTTTGTTTCTCTTGACTAAATACCTAGGAGCTGAACTGCTAGGCCCATGGTCTCTTTATATAGCAGACACTCTCTAAAAGTCTGCTGAAATATCCTTCCCTTTTTCATCCCAGTTTTATACTAAAAATTATCTTTCAATCCATCCTTCCCTCAAAATATGAGGAATATTTTTTCTTCCAAGAGGACAGCATTTTAATAATTAAGTGAAGATGAAATAATACGCATGAAATTATTTTTCCCCTCTTCCTTGACCTCCTGCAAACTCAGGTATTGCGTTTATAGTGAGGACGCAGAACTGTGCCAAGAATGCAGTATTTCAGGTCTTGGGCCCTTAGGCCAACTGAACAATCCAAAATCCAGCTAGCTTATTAATAGAAGATTTTATCAGAGACAGGCAACCGAATTTTTTTTTTTCATTCTTTAGTCTAAGAAAGGGAAATCTGCCAACAATGATAATCCAGTAAATTATTTTTCACAGACATTATGACTCAGTATAAGAAAAAAACACTTGTTGCCCTGGCTGGTATGGCTCAGTCGCCTGAAGCACTGTCCTGTAAACTGAAAGCCTGCGGGTTTGATGCCTGATCAGGGCGGGCACCTGCCTAGGTTGTGGGTTTGGTCCCGGGTCGGGGGATGTGCAACCAATGGATGTTTCTCTCCCTCTCTTCCTTCCTCCCTTCCCCTCCCCGTAATAATACACAAATAAATCTTTTAAAACTAGCAAAAAGTTTTCCTACTTTGCTATATCTTACACGGTAATCAAGAAAAGTTTAATTTAATGTAAGATTGGACTTCTTTGCCATTATTTCTCTAAAGGCCCTCATAACACTTCAACAAGTAGTGGTGGATTTAGTTTTTCAGGGGATGAAAGAGTAAACACATTTGGGGATCTCTTTAAAAAAAAACTTTGTACGCAATTCCCACACAAATAGGTATAGGGCCTTAGAGGGCTGGTATAAATGAAGGACTCTCAAACTTAAACTTCATCTGTGTAAATTCCTATTATTTCATTCATTATCTTGCTCCCAGAAGGCAGATAAAATATTCATTTTACAGCAGTAAAAAATGAAGTAAAAATAAGTGATAGGACTTTTTCAAAGTCAAGACTGAGTCCAGTGTCTTTTCTAATCTAGCTACAATACAGCCTCCCAGACAGCTTGCAGAGAACTGTCTTTACAGAAAGAAACAGGCTTGAAGAGAACTGTCTTTACAGAAATAAATGACTGTTTTGGTTAGCTGTTGCTACAGTCTGCCACTGACACCTGTTATTCTGAGATAAGAAACCTTTTTTATGGTACTTTCACTTTGAAAATGAAACTAGATGACACTTGCCTTTTATATCAGCAATTATATACGCCCATGGTGATCATTCATCACTCCATTTGAGAACTGGAAGGGAACCTTAGCGATCATCTCATCTCTACTTGGGCCAGTAATGCAGAAGTGGCTGGGGGTTACTGGGTATCATAATAACTATAACCTTTAGACTACTCCTGGGTCAATCGACATTAAATATTGTGAAGAATACTCTTCCCAGTCACCTTTTTAAGACTTTATGTGTGCTCAAAAGCAAAAATATCAATTATTTTGGTTTCTTAAAGACTATTATTTCCTTCCACCCCTTAAAAAAATAGATGCTTAGGTTGACAGGCAGATGGGAAAGAAAAAGGTCCTTTGAAAAAGAAAAGATTTTATTTATTTATTTTTAGAGAGAGGGGGATGGAGAATGAGGGAGAGAAAGATCGATTGGTTGCCTCTTGCCTGCTCCCAACCAAGGACCTGGCCCCCAACACAGGCACATGCCCTGACTGGGAACTGAACCTGTGACCTTTTGGGTTTTGGAACAGCACCCAATCCACTGAGCCACACCAGTCACAGCAGGAAATCTCCTTTGGATTTCTTGAATTTAACCCTGAAAATGTTAGTTTTGTGTGATACTTTAATATGAAGCTAGCAACTTGAAATAAATTATTCATCCATTGTGGGAAAATGGTACTTTACCTGAGTTAAAACCAGTACAAAAATGGTGCTGATTTGTCTATGTAAATTCCAAACTATTCCAATAGATTTAACCAGGC